ACAGTGAATTTATGTGGGTAGCTAGGTAGATGTAGAGATGTGGGTTCTAAGTGAGCTTTATCTTCGGACAACGTATCTGACATGAAGCCTTATTGTATAAAATATATTTATTTTTATTAAAAATGAAAAAGATATATTCGATAATTCGTCATTATAATGAATGTGTGGCAACATTTTTTTTAGGGGGGGACAACCACTCCCTGCCCCCCCCCCCCCCCCCTTGCGTACGCCCTTGTATGGCCATAAATTAGCATAAATTGTCATAAATTCAATTGTATTTAATTGTATTTGGTCGCAATATATCAAACCATTTGTCCCTTGGGAAACCTCTTGTTACAATCTCCAATTTTTACTTTATCTAGCAGGTATATAAAAAATACAAAAATTAAATAATGTTAAATAATAATAAAAAAAATTACACTATTTTTTCAACATTCATGATTCGATTTATGTATTTAACAGATCTAGCACAGCACTTACTGAAATACAAGTTCATTTTATATCAGATAAAAAATGGTAAGCGAATATGAATTTAGAATATTGAATAATTGAAGATCTTTTTAACAATGGAATATTATACACTGTCTGGTAATTTCAAATACGTACTTCTTCTAATGAATTCTTCTGCAATAACAAAAAAAAAAAAGTACACCTCCTTAATACTTGTATTTGAGGTAAGAGGTATATTGATGTAAATAGATATTCTGACTATCAGTTGATATTTACGTGGAACAGCCTCTCGCCTGAGAACACGCAGACCCATTATATGTCGCTTAATTTTTTTCATAGTTAAAGGTCCATGCAAATCACTTAATCTAGTCAAAGCTACATCGGCGCCCTTCATCGCATTTAGCCCCATAAAGAGGTAACTTCCTTGAAGTGCAGATCAGAATAGTTGAAGAACTTGGTTGTGGTATGACTTTTTTTAAAAAACTTCTATATGATTCAAATTTCCATAAGTATTATAAATAATTTCCTCTGTTATGGTACTAAACAGATTTTAAGTAAAGGGTAAAATGTATTTAAAATAAGTATAGCTAAAGCAATATGTCCGACTTTTTGCTCTTTTCTGCACATTTCAATGAATTTGGCTTAAATACAAAAAATATATCAAAACCTTCCTATATATTTCGTGCTTTTTAAAGCTTCAAAATAAAAGCAGATAAAATCTAAGCTGACGTTCGATATCTTAAGTGTTAGGTAGAAACCAATTTTTCAAATAGATAAGCCTTTAATTAACAACTTTTAATTATATATACTATTAACAATTCATAATAATTCATACTACATAAATTTCTAGTCTACCAATGAATTCAGCTTAAAACAAAAATCAAAACCATCCTATATATTACGTACTTTTTAAAGCTACAAGATAAAAGCTGATGTTCGATATCTTAAGTGTTAGGTAGGAAACGATTTTTCAAATAGATAAGCCTTTAATTAACAACTTTTAATTACATATACTATAAACAGTTAATACTTAGTGTCGCAATAAGTAACTCGTTTAATTTTAGCAATTGTTGTTCGCCATTTTACAAATATCTGATTCCTTGAAATTCAATAAAACTCATTTAAATATCTTTACTTACATAAATTTACTCGCCATTTTACAAATATTTAAGCTTATGTCTGCCTCTTGAAATTGGAGAATAACTATTCAAATATCTTTAATGTAATCTGGTTTGCAATTCTATAGATCTACATTTCCCACCCAAAGCTATATATTTTAATCAGGCTGTGGCTGTGCACTTCTTCATTTATGAGCGAGGCAATCTTCTCTGTTTAATGTTCTGTGGATGTTGCTCGCTAGTGTCTTTCCATTTGGTGCATGAATATGTACGAGTATGTATATATGTACATAGTATATAATAAATTTTAATGAGTTTTTGCAACTTAATCTATGCGATCAGTAGTGCCCCGAGTGGCAAGTACACCCCACAGTGCGCTGCCACGCTCAAACATTCAACGTCAAGGTCTAAGATTTATGAATGCCATTCGTAAATGCTGAGCAGCATTAGAAGACGCACAGTGGGTGAAATTTGAGATGTTGCAGGGGCGATTTAAAAATGGGTGAAGGTAGCACTCATCTAGTCATTTAGGAAAGTAACCAGCAGCCAGTCAGCCAGCCAGCAAAGCAGGTTGCTGTTTGTTGGGCTTATGAGAAAGTTTTTCATTTGGCTGCGATCTTAACGCTCACTTGGTTTTTGTGTTCTAATAACAACAAAAGACGCCTCTAGACAATAAGCGTTTTGTTAAGCTTCTTACTAGTATGTAGTATGCGAACACACAGACTTACTATTTATAATCTTGAATTCATATCGGTAAAATGATGAAAATTGTTAATGGCTTTTATATGCAAAAACTACTTCCCACTTCAATCAGAAAGTTGTGAGTGGACCGCCCTCCCGCCTTTCGCTTCAAGTAGGAAGCACGTACCATTGCCGGCCATTTGTCCATATTGGGCAACTGTCACTACTCATATACCCGCACTATATATACTATATGTCCGATGTTGGCGGTATGTTGTTTTATCTTTCATTCAAGAACGCGCGGCAACTCAGAAGCAAAACAAAACAAAACAGAAGAACAATGTTTATGTGCTGCACGTTGACAGTGTCGTTTGTGCCACTTTCATGCAAATTGTGTTGCCTTGCCACGGCCCCTGTTGTAGTTGCTGCTCTTAGCATAATTTCGTAATTTGTTGTTGTCGTAAGACACAACAACCAACGACCAACGATGACCAAACACAACATTCATGCTCTTGATGGAATCATTAAAAAACCCATTTCCAAATTAAAGAAAAGAGTGTGTTTGGCCAAATGTGCAGTTATATAGTAATGCTATTGACGCCGATAATGAAGAACAAGATGATGACGAATGGGAGTTGCAAGTTACAGTAAAGTGGCAGCCTGTGCGCCGAAAGGAAATGAGTCGAGCTTAAATGCTTCCTATTGGTGGGAAATGTTGGTTATTTTTAAAGAGGTTGTAGCTCCCGCAGCTTGTATGCTTTAATTCGAAATTATTATAGATTCTTACCTTTTTGGAGCTTAGGATTTCCAATTAACACTAACGGGTTTTCAGAAACTATAGCAATAATTATGGTTAAGCAAAATGGGTTAAGAAATAGGAAACGAACTTTAACTAGAGTGCTTTTTTGTTAAATTAGTGCGGAATTAATATAAAGTGCCATTATTTAATCTATTTAATTCCAAATTATTATAGATTCTTCCATTTTTGGAGCTGAGAATTTCCAATTAACACTAACGGGCTTTCACAAACTGTAGCAATAATTATGGTTAAGCAAAATGGGTAAAGAAATAGGAAAACGGGAATTAAGTTTTTTTGTTAACTTAATGCGGAATTATAGTATTATAAAGAGCCATTATTTAGTTCTAAACTCAAAAAAATTCTTGCTAGTTATTAAAAGCTTCTTATTCGCAATTTCAAACCAATTGAAAATATTTTTAGATGCATGTCATTTGTTAGGCATTTTCTATTTTTAGGTTATAGATTTTTTGAGTTGTGTTTTGAGCTTGTGTTAAAGTATTAAAAAACCAATAATAAAAATGGAAAAGCTATTTTTTACTTTAAAAAATATATTTACAAAACTTTGATAATAAATTGTTTTTAATTTTCAACTTAACATTTTTTTGTGACATAAGTGAGAATTATGTCTGGATTTCTGTAAACATCGTTGTGTTGTGTTATGTCTGCGAGTTATTAAGGTCTTGTTTCTGTTTAATAATATAAACTAAATTTATTATGTGTTTTCTTTTTAGATTTTTCATATTTGTGCTGTTTTTCCTTATAAGAGTTTGTGTTAAGTTATAAGTTCTTATATCTGTTTGAATCAGCCAACAGCTCCTGTCATTCTTCATTTCTATAATAATATAATAAAAAAATAAAATAAAATATAATAAAACTCAATTATTTTATGTTTTCTCTTTAGCGTGTTTTTATTGCCTTTTTTTTCTTTTTATTATGATTTGTGTTGAATATTTCATCATATACAGAAATCTATCTCCAATTGGAAACCAGAAATGCCAGTACATGTCTTCTGTTTTCTCAAGCTATACTTAAAAGACTTCGATTCGTATTAAGAAAATCATAAAATAGCATCTTATTTGTTTGCATTTCGCTTAAATTTTCAAATTGCACTTAATTCAAGCTTATCTTGATCTTAAGTTTACTACGACAGGAAATTATTGGCGATTCTCAGAAGCTCCGATTGATGCCCAAAAAAAAGTGTTAGGAGTAAGTTAAGGAATGAAGAAACATTAATAAATTGTAAGTCAACGGAAGAGTAGCAAGTGTAATACAACTATTTTAAACACCCACAAACAGCAAAATAAAATAATGGAATAAAAATAATAATAAAAGTAAAATAAAATAACAATAATGAATATAATAGAACCTTTAGCTAAATTTTGTTAGTCATCCAACTATTACTAACTTGCTCGCTTCTGTGTTAAGCTTATAAAGATTTACCAAATACTTACTACCTTTCACTGAAATGAAGTAACGCATTTTTATGTATACATAAAGAATATAAATATATATATATATTTGACATCATAAATAGTTTATACAAAAACTTAGCACTAGAACTTAATTACACTGTCTTCAACTGCCGTTAAAAAAAAGTTACTCGCTAATGATCGTTACAGAGAATTGCATAGCTAGTCGTAGAACTAAAGTAAGTATAGAGCAGGGTAAGATGGTGGAACTAAAATTATGTAAATGTTATAGATTACGTCTTAATATCTGAAGCATGTTGCACTCTGCGGGGCGAAATCTGCGCTTGGGCTCAGCGCTGGTGCCGTTGCCAGCTATGCGAAGTCGTCTTTAGCTAAATGGGTTAAGCAGAGTTGTTGCAGTTGCAGTTGCAAGTTGCACGTTGCCGCACATTCAGCAAGACAAGTGCGCATAGTCAGCTGTGCGCCTCATTGCAAGAGACCGGAGACCGGAGACTGGAGGCTGGGCTGGAATCCACTTGCAACCTACAAGGTGCACTGGTACTGTTGCTGGAGCGCACGCGGCAGCGTTTTGTGCGGCAAATGGGAGGACGGCGCCGACGTTGACGCTGAAGACGACGAAGACGTCTTGTGCAGAGCCATATTCGATTTGAGGCGCAGACGCTCACGCTGCGACGCCAGCCGATGTACGACAATGATGCAAATGCTGATGATTATCACAGATATGGAAACAGTTACGAGCACGCTGCCCAGATTGGCGCTTATGTAATGCAGCGTGGCGGCATAGACTGTAACAAAAGCAAGCCAGAAGGCGGAAGAGAATGAGGCACGATTGTAGAAAAGTACACAAGTAGCTAACTCACAACAACAACAACAAACAACACACTCAACAAATAAAGGTCTTCTTCCTTTAGTTATTTTTTTTGTCATTTAGTTTCATATAAGGTGATTAAATATTGATAAGTCAAGAGGGAAATTTCTCAAGTCAGATGATCTCTTAGACAAATCAACTTAATTGTGAGTTACCTGCTTTTAGAAATTTAAATAAGATTATTTAAAGAAATAAAAAAGATGTGTAGAAACATGACAAGAAGAGATAATGGCTAATCCAAACTGTTATAAGAACGCATGACTCATGAACTACAGTGACAGACATGCCTTTAACAATACTCCAATGATTTTTATTGGCAATACAAAGGCGAACAATAATTTAAGAACCCAAAGAATAGATAGCTACATCTAAGAATATACAGTTTATTATGCCTTTATTTGCGAATCCAGTTCACGCATTTCTGTTTCTGTATCTATCATTTTTCCCACCTAATTTAAAGCGTTTCTTAAAATCTGACTAACTTTTATTGGAATTTTTCTATCAAATCAATTCAAAACATCTCTAATATCTAATCAGCATATTTTTCATGCAATAATTTAAATCTTCTCCCGAAAAGATGATGAAAAAATATCAGCCTGACAAGAAAATAAGTAAAATATAATAAATGGTTTCACAGGAAAGCCTCTATTCCTGTTAATTTTAAATAAAGCTACCTAAATTTACTTATTGTCCAAAAACAGATTGTAAATAAATAAATTGTAAAAAAATAATAATAATAATAATGATTTAAATCTGGAACTTAAGCATGCAGACTCAGTCCAATCTTCTTTATGGTTCTAGATGTTTAATTGATGGTTTTCGTAGTTTGCTAATTCTACTGGAATCGCTGGTTTTTAAATTGAATAGATTTAAAGACTCATCAAAATGCCATATCGAATTGAAAAGAAATAAGGGTGATTTTCGTTTAAAGACTCCTTGTTTGTTCTTGTTTTTTATTGATGAATAAACTTAGCATTTAGAAGACTCCAAGAATCCTTTTCAGTTTTGAGACTGTTGTTTCAATTCTTCAAAATGCATTTATAAATTGAATAGATTTAAAGAAACTACAAAATGTCATTTCAACTGAATAGAAATAAGGGAGATTTTTCATTCAAGAATCTCCTCTTTTTTTCTTTTTTTTTGATGAATAAACTTAGCATTAAGAAGAATCCAAGAATTCTGTTCAGTTCTGAGACTGCTGTTTCAATTCTTCAAAATGCATTTTTAAATGGAACAGATTTAAAGAAACTACAAAATGTCATTTCAATTGAAAAGAAATAAGATTAATTTTTCGTTCAAGAAACTCCTTATTTGTTCTTGTCTTTATTAAGAAGAATCAAAGAATCCTGTTCAGTTCTGAGACTGTTGTTTAAATTCTTCAAAATGCATTTTTATGCACTAATTAACTCTCTTTTATCCAGCCCCTGTAAATTGTCTTTTAGCGAAATTCGTGGACCTGCCTGTATTAAGTTAATTTTCATTTCTTAGTGTAGAACTTGAACTTACCCTCATCGTTGGCATCATCTGCAGCAGAAGCGGCCATCATATGTGGTTGCTTCAGCTTTACGGCCTGTGCCGTCGTCCAGGTCTTGTAGCCATGCGCTGGCTGATCGACAACCAGTTTGGCATATTTTGTGTTTAAATGCTCCAGCCTTTGTTTCTGTGCTGGCGCCTCCTCCCCCTCCACCACCTCGAGCTCCGCGAGCTGCTGTGCCATGTTATTGACTTCACTGAGACTGGCCAGACTGAGGGCGCGACCCTGCTGGCGACTGGCATTCAATGAGGACTGCTGCTGTTCTGGTGCTTGGGTCTCCACAACCATTGCGGGCTGCTCCTCGCTGGAGCTAGATGGAGCTATTTCTTCTAGATTCAAGGAGGAGTCCTTCAGCACCAGCTCACTCTTGTTCACATAGCGCATGTGACGCATTTCTCGGCCCAGGCGCAGTTCGTCGGGCTCGAAGGGATCGTTTGGCTCAATGGCAGCGGCCACTCCTTGCTTGCCAGGAACTGTAAAGCTGGCCCGCACCGTTTGCATGCCCGACTGATAGCTGCAGACCACCACAAAGCTGAATAGGAGAGGAGGAGGGGGGAAAATATACGACATACATATAGTATGTGAGGATTTCAAAGACACTGCACAAATGTTAGGGCCGCCCTCAATTTTCCACAACTTACCGCCTAGTGCTGTGAGTAAAAATTCCTAGATTCTCCTGTACTGTGATGAAAGTCTCGACTGTGTTCGTCTCGGGCTTAACCATGCTGCCGCATTGCTTGTGATCAATGCGCATTGTGTACTTGTCTGCGGCATCCGAGGCATCACCTTTGACGCCACAATTGCCGCCATCGACAACAATGCGACCGCCAAAGTAGGGGCCCGTCTCCACCTCAATCTCTGAGGCATGCGGCAGGCATTGTGTGGCATGCGCCGAAACTATCAACATTATTAACAAACAATACAATACAATACAAGCACAATGAATGCCCATTTCTATTTAGGTTGCCATCAGCCCGTGGCACAGCCATCCGTGGCATACTTACAGCCCTTCGTGGGTATCACGATGCTCTGCCCAGCCAGATGGCCGCGGCTCAGCTCACTCTCGATTTCGTTCTCATTGAAGAGCTCCGCGCGTGCGCTGCTCGTCCGCATGCTCGCCCGCCTCTGCGCGGCCGGACGTATGTGGAAGCTGTACTTTGTGGCCATGCGCAGATTCTCCACCAATGCCGCAAAGTGTTGCACACGAAGAGGGCTGCCAGAAAGAGTTGCGGGTACAGTGAATGCCAACAAGCAGAACTTGCTATACTAAGTAGTATTCCAAAATACTTAAACCTTAGTTTAGTTTAGTAGACTTAACTAAGTGCTGGACGATCAGTAGTTGCAATAATTTGGAGGGAACGAAAATGTAAATTGAAGAACGCTCGTTTGATTCTAACTTTTAAAGTTCGTTTTTTTTTTTAAATCTTGATTATTATCTTTATCAATATTTTTTATTTAAGATCTATCCTAAGGAGGACAGTTGAAAGCAAGTTAGTTTAAAAAGTTCTCTAGTTTACTTGTTTTGAAATATTCGTATTCAAAGCTCATTTAATGAATTTCTGAATTTCAGGTACTTAAATAGCCTCTTAATTAATTTCTTAAATTTATTTATAAAAAGTTTTAACTAAAAGTGTGCTGTCGCTTTTCATTTCCACTTAACAATTCAAATTGATCTGCTTCATTTGAAGACATTATTTGATGGAATTTCATTTCATTTATTCAAAAAAATTGGCTCATAAATTGTTGTGTATCTATAATTATTTAATCATAAAGAGTACTGGTTATAAAACCTTATCAACTTAATTATATATAAAGAGTGTTTTTACAGTTTATGAGTGAACGGACAAACACACTTTATATATAATTAAGTTAATAAGGTTTTATAACTTGCACTGGTTTTAAATATAAGATTGAAATTCCGAACGGAAGGTGGAACAGACATCTTCAAATAACAAATTAAAAATATGTGAAAAATTAGAGATCTTAACAATAAACCAAATAATTAATATATTCTATAAATTCTTAATCAATTGCTATTAAAATTCAACATTGGAAAAGTTTCTATTCGTTATAAACTAAACTACCTTTAATTGCTGGGGCAGTTCCTGTCAAATATTGATCTTTTATAGCTATTGTTCTTTTATACCTAATTTGCTTCCAGATTTTTAAAGAGGGATCTTAATAAGTTGTCTTGAAAATCCCCATTAATCCACACTAAAAATGTATTCGACTGATTTATTTTTCTTTCTTCATCAAGATATTTGGCTCAATAAAATAAATTAACTTACTGTTTCTACAAATTTTTACAATGGTTTTTAAGAACTTCACAAAACATTTTTATCAGTTCTAAGTACTTTATTTGAATGTTATAAATCAATTCAGATTTTCATGTTAAACTTTTTTTTTAAAGGGATTCAAAAGTATGAAATAATTTTAAACGATGTAGTTATTATTAATTATGTTTTGCAATTCGAAAAGTTGAGTCTACAAAATTAAATTTCCTGGAGAATTGTGAATGTATTGAAGCTGCCTTGCTTGGAGATTCTGCCAACATCTATAAATCGCTGATTGAATTTTCTTAACTGATATTTTTATCTATTTACTTAATAACAGTCGTTAGGTGTTAACTGCTGGTAGCCTCCACTATAATTCCCCATACTTACTTAAATTTCTTCAAAATTGTTAACCTTTAGTTGAGCAAGTGACCTGATTTTCTCCCAAGCATGTATGGCAATGGTGTTGAGATGATCTTTTAACTTACCCCGTCTGTTCGGAGGTGACTTCGTTGCTTTGCACCGCCGTGCCATTCACCAGCTTGACGCGGCAACGCTGCGGCCCATAATTCTGCATTTCACAATAGAAAATCTGAAATGCTTTGGGCGGTTCCACATCGACGCTCATATTTGTCACGCCGTCGCCATCGTTTCCACTGCCACTGCCAGTCCCATTGCCACTGCCACTGCCACTGCCAGTGGCGGTCTCATTGCTTCCTCCATTGGCACTGACATTTGTGCCATTGCCATTGCCTTGTTCGCGTTCCCGTTCCCGTTCTGCTGTAACTGGCACGGGCATTGGCGCAGGCACGAATTCAACTTCCCAGGTCAGATTCACCGATTTGTAATTTGGTTCACCGGAGACGCCGCGTATCTCTGCCAAGTAGCCAAAGAGCCAAAGAGAGTCAAATGAGAGTAGAAGCATGCGAAAATGGGTTAACACAGAGGCTCGTTCGTGTGCAGTTCAGTTCAATGAAGGAAGGCATGTCGCATGCAAATCACCAGCAAACAACACCAACAACAACAATAAAAACCATAAAAATCGTTGGGCTAACTATGGACAGGAAAAAACTAAAACAACAATAATAACAACAACAACAACAACAACAAACTTGTTTCCCAGCCTTGTCGATGCGGTCTAAGTAAGTAGTCTACACACGCTTCTGAGTTACTTTTTTAGTGTTTACGGTTGTTGTGTTGTTGTCAGACTTGTGTTGTTGTGCTCTGCACTACGTGATCAGGTGATAAAGGATTTGTAGAAGAGTGTGGTGTGAAAAAGCAACGAGACTAACAACAGTTAGTCAGGCATGAAAATGAAAGAAGAAGCAGGCGCCTAAAGGGGAGAAGGCTGTTAAGTGCTTAAGTGTATGAAGGAGATTATACGCTATATGATTAGTTTTGTGCTCCATGAGATCTATTTTAAGCTTACACTATAAGTGATTTAGTCCATGAATTTTGGAGGTACTTTAAAATATAAAGAAAAATTTTACGAACGAGCTTAAGAACTTTTCGTATTTGAGTTTATGGAAAGGACTAGTTGATAGTTAAATATAGTTGTATTTTTTAAGGGTACAACAGAAAAGGTTGTGATGAGGGGCAGTCTCAAATTTGATTTATTTTCCTCGTTATGTTAAGTGAAAAACATAAATGAAATGCTTCAGAGCTTACGGAAATGGCCTGTAAAAGCTCTATAATAAGGGGCAATACTATTGAAAGAGTCTGAAGACTACGTAAAATAAAAAAAATAAATAAAAATACTAATTGAAAGAAACAATCGAAGGAGTACTCAATAGACTAGAAAGGTTAATCCATTGATTGCCATATAAGAAGATTACATTTAAAGCATAACTAACTTTAGATAAAAATTGCTATGTTACTTGAGATATGAGCTACGATATAAATACATATAGAAGACTATAGCAGCGGTCGAACAAACTAAGAACTGGCATCTGAATCCTTAGTTTGTGCCTCACATGTTTTTGAAAAATATTTAGTTGGTTTGACAGACCAAATAACAAAATTGAGCAGATTTGCAATGTTTGCAAAATTCATAACTATATATAGTTGTATATATATGCGACGTGCTGAGATTAATTCTGGCTGACTGCCTTATTCTCATAACTCCGCAGCAATAGAATAATTTGTGTAATTTCATTACTTTATTCCACTATTTTTTTTCGGTGTTTCTTTAAAACTATTCATAGCTACATATATTCTATATAAGTATGTATTTATATGTAGCTGTCTGCCTGACTTATCAGCAGCTAATCGGGCTTCAAACTTTACCTATTCAACCAAATTTGTGTGTAAAGCTTTAAAATGGCAGCGACGGTGCTCTACTAAGAACTTTAATGGCTTTTTGTGTTACAATATAATTGCTGATTTACCTTTCTTTTGTATTTTAAATACAAAAATCTACGATAAAACGCTTAACTATAAATCAATTAACTATAGTCCTATTCAGAAACGAAACTTAAATGTATGTCAGCTGCAAAAAATGAACTAAGGTATGTCAAGATATATTGATTGTTTTTAATATTTTTATTGACATGTGCTATGGCGAAGTGAAATTGAATTCACAATTGCAATCATAATAATAATAATTACTTTTTGAAAATTTCCGCATCATGCTTCAATGACATACGAAATTAAGAGTTGTTTTCTGAGTGGAATGACCCAAATGCATTTGCAGATTTGTTGGCCATGGCTGAGGCGCGATTCGGCTTCAACCCACGGCTCATCAAGTGCATTTTTTAGCGCCTGTCATTGTGGATTTCTTCCACTGCACAGCCAACCTTGCATAATCTTCAATTAGAAATGCCATTTGTTGTGCTAAGGAGCAGCAGCAATAACAACAAAGACAACAACAACAACAACTGCTGATTTTCCCATGTTGAAATCATTGACACCGATTTGGACTGGCAGGCCGCAATTTCTGATTTTGTTGTTGTTTTTACCAAGCCAGAGTCATGCTAGCATTTTTAGGCGAATTTCACAGCGAAACATGAAAAAGTGAAAATTCTGCCATATTTCAACGGAAAACACACACACAGCCAGCACTTGGCACAATTCTTAAGCCAAGAGAGATGAAGATGAAGATGAAAATGATGCTGAGGTCATTAGAACAGCAAGATCAGCAGTCGAGTCAGAGTCAGAGCCAGAGCCAGAGTCCGAGTCAGACAAACAGACAAGTCGAGGCGTCTTTGGCATTTTCATTAGGCGTCGCCTCTAATGACAGCCCCCCAAAGACTGCCGCGCGCCAAAAACTGATACGAAAATGGCAGTAAATTCGACAGGCTTCTAGATGGGGTCGGTGGACGGGGAAGTAGCATGTTGAGAAATCAAGAAATAAATCGCATGATTAATGACATTTCACTTGCGGCATGCAATGGCCAAATGCTTTTACTCTAGCCAGTAGCGATTGAGTCTGACGGACTGTGGGGCCGAGGAATTGGAAAAGCTGATGACAGCGCATCATTTGAACAAAACCAAGAAACAAAAAAGTAAAGCCAACATTTGTTCAATTGTGTGCGGCTTTTGTGTTCCAGTGTAAATGGTCATTATATGTTATGTAATGGTCAGTTATTAGCACGGTTTACAAATTTCATTAGAACTTCCAATATCGGTAGCACTGACCGACATTCAAGCGCAATTATAACACTGTACAGCAAAGAAATGATATTTGAGCATCATTTGATTTTTTAATAAGAATGATGGAATGATGCAATAAAATAATATTTGTTGCCTGTGAAATATCTTTTTCCAACACAAAATTCAGACTTCAAAATATTATTGAATAATCTTGAAATATTATTAAGGATAGCTGATGCTTTTTTTAATTCAGTAATATTAGTGAATTTTGTATTATGGTATTCATTTGTATTATTAAGTAGGCTATTCAAATTACTTCTCATTTTATTATCTAAGGAAATTACATTTTTGTGACTAGTGAATCTTTCTTGTCGCACTAGGTACTAATAATAAATAAATAAATAAATAATACTTTTCCAATGGTACGTTTAAGCCTTAATTGAAAGTTTTAATTTAAAACAAAGAGGACTGTGATACAATTGGTTGTATCCGACAAAATATACAATTTAAATATTTAATTAAGCAAAATTTTAATTAAACAAAAGGTGAACCTAGCTGTAGTGACTTGGTCTTATGATAACATACATACATATGTAAATGTTTACAAAAAAAGCTGATATGATCTCATAAAAAGTATGATTTACGAGTATTTCTTTGAGCTGTAATGGAAACTAAATTCAAATAATAAATTTATGAGACTTTTTAAATTGCCTTTAGAGGACTAACAAGAGAAGTGAATTGATCACCAGCTTTCTCCTATTAATTACACAATACTATGTATTATATAATTGATTAAATTTAATCTTGTTCGGGCAGAAGCAACCAAATATTTAGTTTGGGCTTAGAATCCGCATGCTTATAAAAATATATGTACAAGCAAAGAATCGTCTGGCGTTTGCTGTTTGTGATATTTTTTGGTACATTTTTTATAAGGAATACTTTTTATTAATTTATTTAAATAAAAAAATTAACTTGCAAAAATTAATAGTCTGTCACAAACTAATATTAACTTGCATTCTTTTTTTTTTTGTATTAAAAGAGAATTAGGAAAAACCAAAAAAGTGTTTACCCGAATTGTCGGTACTATTGGAAATCCTGCCTGATAATTGTAGAAACCAGTCGGTAAACTTCTTATTGTATCTACAAGCATTTGCCCACTAGGAAGGTATAGGCCTTAGGGAAGCACATTTTGAAATATACTTAAAAAGTTACATGAAATACAACAAATTGACTTCAGAATGGACATCCATCTTTCCCATCAAACAATGTCCTGTTGCACAGTGTTGTTGTCTGATTCAACCTGTTTCTTCTGCTTTTAGAACACCGAGCAGCAGTCGAGGCATAGACATTTTGCATATCTTAATGACACTTTTGCTCTCAGCAGCGACCTCAAATGGCAGCTGAAACGAAATGCATTACGCTGGTAATAATTTCCGTTGCGGTTCTGGTTCTTGGCCACACAGATGTGATTGGTTTTGCGGTTACTGCAGGGGATGGCCTCACCACCGGTGCCACCATCCTGACTGTGGCAGGAAATGTCTGCACATTTCCCTCATGCATTTGATTGGCTTTAAATGGCGAAAAATTAGTACTATAGACACACGAACACGGTTGGCACTTACTGTCGTCCAACCTAGTCTCAACCGCTAGTTCGTTGCCTAAGTCTTTTGTTTGCCACTCAATGTATGTGTGAGTGTATGTGTGGCACATTTTGTGAGCCGAGCGTGAAACAATTTTGCTGCCAAGGGCAATACTGCAGCCGCCCTTTTTTGCAAAATGAAACGAGGCCTGGGACAAAAACAAAGTGCACACGTTGAAAAGCAAAAATCGTGACTGAATGCAATTAGGTAGCAGTAGCTTGGGCAGAAGAAGAAGCAGAACAACAACAACAAAAAACTGCATTGGGGGAGCTAACAAGTATCTGAACAGACGCAGCTAAGGAATAACTGCCAGACAACTCAAACCACAAGCTTGTCTGTAAAATGCTGAATGCTCTATAAAAGGGTAAACGGGTATGTCGCAAGGGAGCTATCATTAGAGACAGTGTGTAGCGACAAAAAAATTTTCTTTTGGCCCACTCGAATGTCAAGAGAGGGCTCAAGGTCACTGTGAAAAATGAAACTTGCGTATATGTAGCTGGTCGTCTATCTTTATTTTCAACAGCAACCGCTATACGACTAACTACTTAGAACTGGCTATGAACCTTACTAAAAACAGCTTGGTGGATTTATTCCATTAACAATGTAAGCTATCAATTAAATCTATCCAAGATATGGTTTGTAAACTGTAAGGACTATTTTGAAAAAACCATGGATTAAATGATCCTTTTCTAGCAACCTGATCTTCTGTCTTTTTGATATCCCAGAGTCTATTCGATTTAGTGACACTTATAAATCTATTATTTGCCCCAAAATGTTGTCAAGATTTCCATGTCGATGTCTAAGGGCAGTCTTAATCTGGTAAACACGTGATATAGAACTGCTATTATTTGAGAGGGTGTCTTGAAACGACATTTTTCCTGCTTTATTTACGAACTAAAGTTATATTTTCTAGATATTTATTTATATATTATTTTGTAGCGAAATATCAGACTTTGATTACATCTTTAATAGTTTAATGTTTTTATCAAAATATTTTTTTGTTCATTCACTGCTGCACTCTGGTGTCGCCAAACTTTTCTTTAGGGTATCTCTTAGGCGCTAACAATGCTTATGTACAGCACAAAGCGCTGTTGGTTTTTGTTGCCAGGCTTGTTGTACATGCAGCATCAGTAACAACAACAACCACTACTACTACTTACCATATTTGCTTGCAACATTGGCTGCAGATGTTTTCAATTTGGTTGCCTTTGATGTGCTGTCCACAACGGCATTGATGCCACTGCTAGTTGCTGGCAGCGATTTGGCCTCCGTTTGTGTCAAGTTTTGCTGCAGGCTGTATGTGTTGTTGTTATTGTTGTTTTTGGCTGTTATTCTAGCGCGTCGATTTAGTCCTGCGCCTGGTGTGGCTGCCTCATGCAACGGCAGCAACAATGGCAACAGTAGCAGCATGCCGCAAAATTGCATTGATTTGGAAAACATATTGAAATCGTAATTGTGTGTAAACACTAATAAGGTGATTTATTTAAAAATCTTTTAAATATCCTTTGATTAAGTTACTCTATTTTAATGTTGTTAAGTTTTTGTTTATTTATTTTCATTTGTGGTCAGCCTTTTGTTTAACACATTAGTATTATAATTTCCATTTAAATCAGCACAAATGAGCTTTGTAGTCACTCCGATTTAGATATTAGGCTTTAAATAATATAAATAATAGATGAAAACATCGCACTCTATTGTTAGTTAACCGTTACTGCGAACCGCACGCGTGCAACTGCGCCGCACAACTAAAAACAGCAGCGGCAACGGCAGCAATCGCATGTGGCAGCCAGCCTCAACCAACTTGGCGAGAACAGCTGTTCGTCGACGTCAGTGCAATGCCAAGGCCGCGAGCTTTTAACATTGGTCTCAAAAAAGCTCGCTCTCTCTCTTACTCTCTCACTCTCTTGCGCTATCTCTCTGGCGGCTTGGCCATATGTTAGACAATGTTTGGTCAGCGTCGTTGTGTTGTTGTTGTTGTTGTAATATGTGCGCCTTGAAAATGTTTAGTGGCTTATCAGGCGTCGCTTATCTATTGTTGGCCATTTGGAAAATGTTTATTTGAATGCTATAGAAAACTGAATTAAAAATCCATAAATAAGCGCGCGCACACGCCTCATGAGAAAATAAAGAAACCTTTTTATATAATTAAAGGCGACCCCACGGATTTTTAATGCGTTTTCAATAGTTTTGCATTGATTGGCTTTTCTTCTTGCCTGCTACCGTTTGGCCGTTATATTTTACAGCAACAGCAGCAGCAGCAGCAACAACAACACATCACTTTCCCTTTTGGCACTGGCCACTTATTGTTTTTCCCATTGCGTTTGTTGTTGCTTTTGTCTTTGATTAATGCTTAATCAGCAAGTATATTATTGTTGTTATTATTATATTGCCGTTGTTGTTGTTGTGGTTGTATTCGTATAGCGGCAAATATTGTACTGCATTATTCATGATTCGAATTTCAGCCATTATAGCAAATAGTATTCCCTCGTCGCTTTTAAACAACCAATTAGAAATAATACAATGCGTTTCACTTCATCAATGGCCACAAAAAAGTGTAATAAAGAAATTTGGTGCAGTGGCTTTGAATCACAAAGATCTCGAATAATAATGATGTTGGCAATAAAAATATAACGTAGCAGAGAATTGCGCAATAAAACTATTTTTACGATGCTGATACACAACATGTTATTGCTCTCCTTGCTCGAAGGTGTCAATAATTAAAACGTTTTTGTTGACAACAATGGAATACAATTAAAATGGCAGTTACCTTATTAAAAAACATATAAATATGTGTTGGAGCTGTGGCAAAAAGGTGAAAATATTTACACGCCTATTTGCAAACAAAAAGGCAACTTAACATAAACATTGAATTTATTCAAGTAGCTAAGGGAATAAAACATGTTATATCACATTTAATGTTTAACCAAACGCCACTGTAGAATTTAAATCTGTTTATTTTATAAGCTCGTACCAAATTTAGCTTCCTATTCTTCTTGTCAAAAAGAGGAATGGGTAGCTGATCAAATATTTTATTTGTATGCGATATGGTGGAAATTATAAATAGGAAAATATTTTCATGAAACTATTAAAATTTACATACTTCATATTAAAGTAATATATAATATAATGTAATATTCCAGCTAAATTTGAGTATTTGATTGACTGCACCTATCGAGATGGTCAATTTTGGGTTTTTGGAAAATTAAGTTTTCAGAAAAGTCCGTTCCGATCCGTACAAAAGTTATAAGCCAGTACGAGTATATTTCCATTTTGGTGTTGTAATTAGAATATATTGTTTTTAGGTTTTATTTTATTCGATTTGAAAAATATGTGTATATCACAAATAAACGTATAATTAAAACGTGTTTGTTCTTAAACACTCACCATGTACAGCTAATACTAACATCGATTACATTTTCTATATTTATTTATCAGCAAATATAGCTTTCGAAATACAAAGGGAGCTTAAAAAGTAAAAGTCTAAATACGTTTAAATAATTACAATAATATTTTAAAGCGAATCCGATTCGAAGCGGAAATGCTTATTACTATATCGATTATTAATATTAACGGATTCCAGGAAATATTCAAACAAGGACCCTCTACATTACATATACATATGTCCATTCAAAATAAAAATTGAATTAAACTACGTTTGGAAAAAAAACAATTAGAAGCGGGAAATTAGAATTGGGAAATAATCTATTTTCCTCGAGAATATTAAACTATTTAGTCACATAATATCTTAAATGCTAATTTAAAACGAGACCTTGCGTCGAATTTAATATACAATTTAGCGCAATTCCCTCATTTATTATAAAAAGGAATCAAGCTATTATAAGCAAAAGCACAACAAGTTCTCCAGCGGGTTACAGAATGGAACTAATGACCATAAAGGGAGTTAGCTTTGCAATTAGGAACCTTCATTTGCATTTTTTTCAATGTCAAATTACGTTTAATATGTTGATGACGTAAGCAAGGCAATTTTGTGCTTACAACTCTACCCTCCATTACAATATTATGAGCATTATATCATTTCCGTTTGGATAATTCCCTGCCAGTTTGCTAATTTATCAAACAGCATGTTATTTCCTGTGGCATAATTAGGGTCCTTTTATTGTTTTTGCTCATTTATATGCCAACTAAATATATGTATTTCAATCTTTCTGTACAATATTGCACGTTAATTGCGTCAGCAGTTCGAGCATTATATAATTAGCTTCAGGTGCCTCTGTAATTAAAGGCAACTGACCCAAACCAAGGGCTCAAGCAAATACTTCTGGTTTACATGCCCTCACATACCCTCACAGCCCAAAGGACACTGACCGCAAGCAACACAAACACATACACACACCAGCATATATATAAAGCTATATAATATATACGGATGAGTGCAAACACAGCCGCATGCCGGCACAATCCATTAAAATTTCAGCTATGCGATGAAAGCGACGAGTGGAATCGAAGGCTCAACTGCCGCCACTTACTCGAACATCGAGGCGAAGAGACCATCCACTTGTGTTTTTTATTGTTGTTGTTTCCCCAATGGATAACGGCGGCAAATCCCTTGACATGCACAGCCGTTTCGTGCACTCAAAACACATTCTTATAATTTTACTAATTAAAAATTTAATGAGGCTTTCAACTAAAAATAACGAGAACCCTGTCACGCACCCACAGCACAAAAGGGCATCGCATTGGAACACCTGTTAGCGCAATGTAACTCTTTGGCAAGTTTCCCAGGAGGCTTTAAGGATAGCCGCCCCAAATCGACCAAAACGAGCAAAGGCCAGCGACGCAAACAAAGTGGAAATTGAATTGTGTTCGCGCTCGCAAATCAGTTGACACACCCAGCAGGCCAAGGAAAGGAATAAAAATAAAACGTCACTCAGCCAGTTATACAATGCTTTTGTCCAAAGGTCAACCTCCGAGCAGAGCCACAAATAACAAAACGGAATGCGATTTCACACGGCTCGATTTCGTTGGTTTTATTTATGTATGTTTCGCGTTAATTTTCATTCCTTTTTTGTTGTCGCCTTAGACTTGCTGAGTTTCCCCAAGTGCCTGGTGACGCGTGAATTTTTAGTGTGCGCCTGAAAGTAGGCAGCGGTCTTTTACATTAAGGTGCGTTTGCACGGCAATTGACAAAATGAATTGGAATTCAACCACTATATGGCATATTAGATTTAAGTATGTGCTATTGATATATAACAATTGATATATGGACAATTTTTGTATTTAATTTAATTTAATTTAATTTAATTTAATTTTTAACTAGCTTAAGCTGCCATATTGGTAGCAGAATACTAGTTTAATAAATTGTAAACAATGTTTTTATAAAAAAAAAAAATTTGGCATAACGTAGTGTGAACTAGGGTTGGAAAAAAAGTACAAAGCATCGGTCCATTTATTTTTCGGTAATTATGTGAAATTTATATTTAGTTTTAACCCTTGAGTCTTGAGTCGATGTTTCACACAATCGATCTATCGTCAAGTGCCATCGATTGTAGTTCGATAAATTGCGACAAAACATCGATGCATCGATTTACTTATTTTGCGGTAATTATGTGAAATTTTTATTTAGTATCAGCCCTTGAGTCTCCAACAAGATTGCGTTTCCTTTTAAATTGCTTTTAAAATTAATATTTGGATGTTTTGGCCTAAACATGAGCGTCGATGCATCGCGTTCAAAAAACATCGACGACGTCAAAAAAACGAGATTTTTTTACAACCCTATTATGAACTTGATTTCATCTGAAAATATGGCTGAATTTTAGGTAAGCCTGTGTTCGATAGTTTATTTTTTTGCGACCGCTTTTTGTACCTAGCATTCCCTGAATCTGTCGTCTATTGTAATGCCCCACTTCTGGGCCTTTCCATTAGCCTCTGAGTAGGCCGATTATCAATCTGCAGTTATTTATTTAGAGTTGCAGGCAGAAGGTGGTAAGGCATCGATTCCCCATAACTCTCACATGGACCAATAGTTTAAATTTTAATGCAACAAATCAAACTTGTCTCTTATGTTATTTTAATGTATTTATTTTTATTAAATATGCAAGAATTGAGACTATTGTTTCTGTAACTTTTTTGTGTTCTGTTCGAACTTCAGCTATATGCTCGCATTTGAATTGCATTTATATACAATTTCACTAAACTGCTGAGCATTAAACCTTAGGCAACAGGAGAAAGAAATAAAATAATCTTTGAGTTCGAGTCGAGAACTGAGAATTAAGAACTGAATATAATAGATCTATCTGATTCTGAACCAGCTCCAGATACTATATAACTATAAAAGACACTTAATACTCGCACTCAGGACAGACAACCAGATAATCGAGCGAGTGCAGATCCTTTATTTAATAAAAACTAAACGTTAAATGACAATTTATGTAAAACCTGTTTAGCTTTTCAACTGCTCTGTGTGCTTATTCTATTTTTAAGTAATTGAAAGTACAATAAATATTAATATTGTATTTTACGTAGCGGTTTAAGGTGTGTTGTGAGCTCATCGGCATGTAAACGCATCTAAGCATCTTATCACAACGTTTGCTCGCATAATTGAGTGGCTCGACACTTTCATCGTTATTGTTGTTGCTAAGTAAGCTAATTTGCATATGTTTCTGTAAGTTTGTAGTTTTGGGAAGGCAGGAGGGCAGGCACTTTGGTCGTTTCGTGAGTTCCTTTTGTTCGTGCGGCCATTGTCGACGTGTCGAAACTGTCAGAGGCGCTCTAGTCTCTGTTGTCAGTCGCAGATTTACCTAACAGACGGCACATGTCACTAACAGGCAAGTGCCAAGAACCGCTGTCAGCATTCTGCCACAAAATTTACATTCAAACGCTGACAATGTAGGCGTATGCTCAACGTGGCGTATACGCAACATTCCTATCGACTGACTTTCCGGCTGCCTGGCTGCCTGTCAGGCTTCGTTTGTTTAACTTGGCGCACGGATTACATGTCTCGAGCACATCAAACAAGCTTTACTTACCGATGACCTCGTTAATGACGCACGCACGCTCACAAACATCCTTACGCACACCCACAAATACATATACAAGTAGGCAGTTAAAAAGGGCGAGCGTCTGTGTTCCTGAACTTGTGCGCGATTGAGTTTGCTTGCCTTGTAATTTGCGCTTATCAGATTTATTTTTATTTTTGATTTTTCAACAAACAAACATGACAATGACAAAGGCACCGGCGGACACTGACGACGTCAGAATTGTACACTCCAAGAAATAAATATAGTAATTTCCAATGATTTGAATGCAATATTTGAACAACGATAGCTACCTGTTTATGAAACTCTCGCTAAGTTTTCGTAAGTTTATAAATTCAATTAAGAATTGCCAGTTCAGCCCAGAAACATTTTCTATAAGACGCAAAATAAATCTATTTTTTCCATTTTATATTTTTCTTTATTTTTCCAACTGTTTTTTAAAAGATTTCTATCAGATTATGTTTTGTATTTTTTCATTGTTTCTGTTGCTCTTTCTCAATTTGTTTTTATTTTCTTTAGACATTGTTTTAATTTTAAGATAATCTGGTACTAGTTGAACAAAAAGATAATATTAAGAAGTGTTATTTTATTTCAAGAGCTCAAGCTCCTATAGCTTGTTTTTTTTTAATATTTGTAAAAAGCCTAAAAGGATAATTCTTAATTCCTCAAATTTGTAAAGAGCCCATTTTATTTCTTCAACAAAATAAATCATTTAATATCTATACATTTAAGTATCCTCTTAGGCGCACAAAAGTTGGCTGACAGCGTGTGTCCGACCCAGAGAGTTTTCACTGTATATATATAAATATATATATGAACCGAATAATTCGTACGTTTCAACAATACATCACAATCACGTCCACTTTCCCAAGCGCCTGCAAAGTGTTTGCTAGTTAGTTGCATTCTTTGTGGCAATACCATTTCAAGGAAAACGAACCTAAACTTCAATTTCAATTTGAATGCAAATATCTTAAATGTGCGCTACAAATATTTTTCAAGTGCAGGCACACATGTATCGCATGTCCTTCAACCGTTTGCTGGCCAACCCATAATTTAAGTAATTAATGCCACACAGTGTCATTATAAAATCGCTCATTACTCTTTAATACACACTTATCGCTCACTGTATTTGCTAATATATAACTAGAACAATAACTGTTGACTATGTGCATAGTATGTATAGTATTCGACCGTTAATTATGGATGACAAACATAGTGTATAGTAGTGTTCGCTCACATTTCACATACTCGTATATGTATATAATTACCCAGCTCTGTTTCTGTTGTTGTTGTTACTGTCCTTTCTCTCTCTTCCTCTTCCTCCTCGCTTGTCTTGTGTCTTAATTGTTGGTGACATAGGTAAACAATTACATACATTTATACAGGCTTATATAAGTATGTGTGCATTGGATACTGTGTTTATATCTTTTTATTCGTTTAACTATTAACAGACGTGCTCCAAACTTAAACTAAATTTAATTAACTATAATTAATTGGTCGAGCGCTGGCAACGTTATATTTATTTGTTTTTCATTTCCATTTTGGTAAATTCTGACTAAAGTTGTATAAGGAAATTGTTGTTGGTTGTCTAAAACAAGCAGCCTAAAAGTATGCTACAGCATGTAAATTAAATTTAAATAATACTTGTGTGTGTGTGTGTGTGTGAATAACAAACATTTGCACATACATTGGATATACACATATACATATACATATAGGTAGCTTTAAATAGTAGAAGGAGTATTTTTATAGTTTAAAAAACTTTGGAATTAACGCAAATAAAATTTACATATAAGGAATTTGTAACTCAACAACACACGATTCACAATTTCAGTATTAGGCTGGTGCTTAAAATTAAATGGCCTTGCTGCTTGGTGATGATTTTATTTCTTATACTATTTAAAAATTTAAATCATAATAAAAATTAAACATTTTTTGAAATTCAAAATAAAGCGAAACTAAAATAGTTTTCTATTTAGTTCTCTCGTTTACAAATTATATTGATATTTTAAAATTTTTAAGTTATTGTGTGCTCAAAAATATTTGTCATTAAAGTCGCGAGCATGGAAAAAATGAAATAAAAAATGTATGCAAAATATCATGAAATAATCAGTTTTTTAAGTTCCTTTCATTTCCATTCTCAACAAAAGGAAAAATTCTAGAATTAGGTTTAGGGAACATTATCGGAATTGATGCGATTTATGTGCGAAAATATTTTTAAAAACAATTCATTAAATCGTTATTGGATAGCAATATATTGACTTTAAATGTAGAAACAACCGAATTTTATTCAAAACTAGTTAGAAGTGGTTTGTCTTTCGTCTCATTCATGGTATTGGAATTTTGTGGCTCAAAATAAAATAGAAATACACTGAGATGGAATCGATATTGTTAGTAAAAATTTTGAAATGTTTGCAGGGACGTTAAATAGCGAAAAATTCGAATGCTTGATTTATCATGAGATTTAAGAGAATTAAAGATTTAAACAACATATTCTCAGTGCTGAATTACTTTTTTGTGTTTTTCCAATTGAGTTGCTTCAACCGCTAGTTTTAAGCACCAGCCTAGGTAACAAAATGTTGCTACATGGTTGCAAAGTGGGAAAAGGAATTTTGGTGAGGCCTTTTCTTTGCATTCTGGTTATCCTTGCTGCATGCAGCCACATTCTGGCAGTTGTCTGTGGCTACCCAGGCACGTGAAGCAGCTTTTGTTGGTATTAGATTATTTTCGTTTTGCTTTGTTTTAAGCAAACAAAATGGCCTCGTTTTGAAAAAATGTGTGTGTTTGTGTGTGGTGTGTTGGTTGAGGTGTGTTGATGTGTGTTTGTGTAAACTGGAATTTGCTTGCTACGAACTAAAAAAATAGACTAAATTCTAATTGAAATCACTGCGGGGACTTCTAGCTGCGCACCTTAAATAGGCGCAACAGCAACGGATAGTGCAGATCCTCGTCGTATAGTGCCGAATCGACTTTAAGCTGCAGATGACGCTGCCAGATGGTTTCATTGTAACGAATGGCCAGCTCCACATGGAAGCCACGGGCCATGCACTCCTCACGAAACACATTCAAGGTGCGTCCCCGACGAGGCGCCATTATCAGAGCCATGCCATGAGGGGCCAAATAATACCAGATGGTATCGACCAGGGCCGACCGTGCCTCATCGAAGAACAAACAGTCGGCACAGAGTATGAACTCGAACTTGGCCTGCTCGGCAGGCGAACGGTTGGTCACCTCCTGCCACTTTAAGACCGAGCATTTCGTATAGCAGCTCAGCTCGTTGAGGCAGACAGTCTTCTTCACATTCTCCACCGAGACCTCGTTGCCATCGGTCAGGTGTACGGCATAGGGTTTGGCGTATTTGGCCAGCATGAGGCCGGCCAGTGAGGTGAAGCCGCCTCCCAGCTCCAGAATCCACTTGCCCCGATAGGCGCCCAAATCGGACAGCACGAGGGCGGTCAGAGCCTCCTCGGAGGGCCACACGCATATGTTGCCCGTGTTGTTAAAGCCCATGAGATCGTTGGCTGTCAGCTGGCGTTCCATATGATGAATATTCACCGAGTATTCGACATCGTTGTGCAGCTGCATGCAATATTTGTACCAGTTCTCTGTCTTGCCCAGACAATTGAGACTCACATGATCCTCGAAGCTGTCCTGACGCAGCAAATCAAAGCTCTTAAATCTACGCACCGACGCTGTTTGTTCCTCGCTGAACTCATCGCTGGACGAGCTCACCGTCTCCTCAGAGTCCTTGCGCAACACCTTGGCCAGAATGCGCCAACGCTTTTGCGCTGTATTCTGCAAATTGGGCGTGGCCGGTGGCGTGGGCGGCATTATGCAACAACCACCACCCGCTGATAATTGCCCCCCTTTTGCCACAATATCGGCCACCTCCAGTTCCAATATCTCGCCGCTTGTTTGCGTTTGCAGCAACTGCTTATTGGCAGCTTGTCTCGTACAACTGCTCTCCACATCCGCTTGCATGACCGCGCCCGAGCTGTGGTTGTCCTTGCCGCTGCAGTTTCCGTTTCCGCCGCTGACACATGTTGTTGCGCTCTGCTCCTCTGCTGCCGCATCCGTCCCGGCCTGTGCCGTCTCCATTAGCGCATTCTGCTTCATCAATTGCGCCCGACTGTGCTCCTTGAACGCATTCAGCGTGTTGTCGATATCGTATTGCAGCAGCAGCGAAATGGTCGCCAAGTGTCCTGCTGCCGCTGCCGCTGTCGCTCCTGCTTCTATTGTCGCGTTATCCTCCAAATCCGCTGAGAGCCCAGCTGTCGCGCTCCCAGTAGCCTCACGTCTTTGTTGCTGCTTCTGCCGCTTCTGCTGTGTATCGGAATTGAGTGTAGTATCTGTCGATTTTTGTACTAATGTGGCTGACATTTTCTCCTTAGTTTTCTTTCAATTTCTCTTTTTTGTTTCAGTATTTATAGCATTTCAGATTTGCAGGCGCTGTGGAAAAAACAGAGAGAGAAAAGAAAGAAAGAGAGAGAAATTAGTTGGCTTTAAAGCTACGAAAAAATGCTAAAAAAGACGATCATGTAGATACATAACTTTTAATATGTTGCAGTAGCAACAAGCAAATTTGTTAACTCAAATTCTTGTTTGATAAAAAATCTATAGCTTAATTCGAATTCTCTTAGTTGCTAAATTTCAAACAAATTGTAATTGTTTTTACAAATTAAAGGAGCGTATACCGCAGAGCAAAGATATTCTTTATTTTAATAAAACTTCTTTAATACCCATTGGAGAAAGATAGTTCTTATAAATTACATTCATAAGTTAGGAACATGTTCGATTACTTTTAAATAATATCAATTTTAAGTGGATCAGGTCATAAATTTCAAAGCAACTTTTACTTTTTTAGTATATCAGTCGATCCATCTGCTAACATTATTACCAAACAGAGTATCGATAATTCGTAGGACAAAACTCAAAACCTTAAACTATGTCCTTCATAATTTCACAAATTGTGCTTAATTAATTGCTGTAGAGTTTCTTCGAAGCCGTTTGCATAATGGTAAAAGTTTTTCGAAAAAGAAAAAATAATCATTCTGATTGTAAATAATAACATTTAGCGGTGGTTGGAACAGCCAAAGATTAGTTCACATGGGTTCAAAAAAAAGGCAAACCCGAAATGTGGGAAATGGGAGCATACTTCTTTTTCTTTTAAATATTCTTAAACTTATGCTATCAGGATCACCTTTCAATTATTGCTGAGCGCAAGGGAACTAAAATATTAAAAAAGTGGCCTTGCGAAATGTGATCCTTAAGGGGTTAAAAAAAACATATTTTTTATTGAGAAAAAATTTTCTGTTATCTGCCAAATAGTTCTGCAATAATTACTAAAAATATTGACAAAATAATAACTACACGCTTGTGAATTTTCTTTAAGGTCTCGAACCATTTTTTTTTTATAAATATTAATAAAAGTAGAAGTTCAAATTACCTCGCTGTTTACTTAAAGACATTAAAATAAAAAACTATTAGCCATTAAGATAATTCAATTCTGAAAGCAGGAAAAAAATCACAACAAATGGTTGCTCAACATAATAGGTAGAGTATGCATTTGTTAATATAAATAATATTTAATAACTTGTCGGAATTTTAAAATATTTCGCCATCACTTCGATCTATGGGGCAATGACAATTGAAAACTGAAATGGCTTTGTGTTTGCAGATTTGGGAATGTGAGGATAATGTTTTCAGAACAATAAAAACAACAATCTAAAGAATCAACATATAATTATCGAAAGCATGTCCAGAAAAAGCTTTTTCCATTACATTACAAATTCTAGTTCTATTATATAAACAGCAATAACAAGTTCTTTCGTAAATACATTTGTTATTAATATTTACATTCATAATTTTTTAATGAACAATCCCCACTTTCCTGTGGCTGCCTTAAAAAACCTTAACCACAAGCATTAAACTTTTGAAATAAACTATTTAAATGAGGCCCGCTACTTTGTTAAACAACAGCGATCATTATAAAGCAATTATCGTTGGATATGTGTTTTAAAAATGATTATATTCCCAGCTAATCTGTGTGTGTGTGTGCGTGTGTGTGTGTGTGTTTGGTTTGCTAATTACATTTTAAAAACACCAAGCGACGCGTTTATAATAAAAATTATTAAAAATTTTCACATCTTCCGCCTTGTTTGTTTTTCTTGCCGCTGTTGTTGTTGTTTGTATATTATGTTTGTTTTTGTTGTTTTTTTTTCTTTTGGCTTGGCTTGGCCTTAACGTATAAATTCATCAAAATTAAGAAATTTTACAGCTCATAAAAATGTTAATTGTGCTGACGTGTAAATATAAACAGACAGGCAGCGCATACAAACACACACTTACATGCCACTCTCCTCATCCAGCCATACATGTATGTATGTATGTGTGCACTTGTATGTATGTAAGTGTGTATGTATTTTCGACTGTAAATGTGGGCAGGTGCTGGCAATTTGTATGAGTATTTTACGCTCAGGGGCTTTTAAGCAAACTTCAGACGACCCAGGACGCCTTAAACATAGGCCGGCACAGAGGGGTAGAGAACAAGAGAGAGTAGGACGAAGAGGCGATGAGGCGAAGAGACAGCGCACATATGCTGCCTTTGTATGTCCTCCTTATCCTGCGTAGGCGCATGGAGGGTCTCTGTCTCTGTATTTGGTGGGAGTGGGCGGTCTATTTGTTGTTGGCATGCGTGCGTAATCAAAGGCTCGTAATTAAATTCTGCTGAATCGATGTGGAGGCGCAATGCGGTCATGACTTCGTAGAAGAATGTCAGGCATTCAAAACCACAATGCCAGCAAATCACGACCACATTAGACAGCCCACATATCACAATGGGTGGAGGGGGGCAGGGGCCTCAAAATGTTCGTATTGACATGCTCTTCATGAATTTTTTTTTGGTTCATGCAATGAGAGCTTTGTTACCGAATAAAACTTTATTGGTTGTGTCTTTATTGCTTGCTGGCAGGCGAGGGGAGTGGGAATGCAAAGTAATTGAACGTCAATCATTGGGCGTTACCTTGATGGAGGTACCAACATTTTTTTGGCACCTTCCTTTTTATATGTGCAAAGAAAACTATTTTATTATATTTTTACGACCGATAAATGGTTACTTAAAATGGTTTCATGTGGAGAAACAGGCAAGTAAATTGCCGATGTGAGTCAAAAGGTTTTTATAGTTTTTTTTTTTTTGCCTAATATGGCCAAATGAATGTGCTGTGTAGTCTTCTCAAAAAAAGCAACAACTGTGATTAACGTATTAAATATAATAGTTCGTCAATTAAGATTAGTTCGTGGGCTATAATTATTTTTTTCATTTAACTGACTTTATTTATAATTATTTTTTTAGATCATGTATTCAATATGCAAAAGAAAATTGAAAATTAATTTTAAAATGATTTTGAATATTTCAGTGACTTATAAATCAAGTCAAAAAGAAAATCCCTTTTATTGGTCGCTTATACTCATATTGTGGGTGGTTTTCTTTTCTGCACAAATTCACAATTAATTTATTAACAGAAATAATTAATTGGTCTTTAATTAAAATTACATTAAATCAGGTTATCACAGTTGTATTTTTTTTTTGCATAGCTTAATTTCTGTTTTTAAAGAATAATATTAACCAATATTTCTTTTTAATAAGTCTTTAATAAATGAAGAGATATAACTGTTAATAAATTCATTTGTTTCTTCCCATTGCTCTTAACATTAACATGCAAAATATTGGGTTATAATTAGTGTTCTTTTTATAAAAATAACTGTATTCGACTATTAAAACAATCATCTGCTCGTACAAGATGCCTATTTCTATATGGAATTTGTTAAAAGATTGACCGGAAAATTAGTTTTTAATTCGGCATACTATTTATATATACGGATTAGAAAACCAGATTCAAGATTCAAGGATAAAGGACTATAAATGATCCAAATTGTGCTTTTTTATTTATTTATTATATTATACTATATTTATATTATATATACTAAAATATTATTATATACTAAATAAAAAAAAATAAAGAAATAAAAAAGCATATAAAAATGACAAAAATATCTAATAACATCTAAAGCTCAACCTGATTAAAGCTGTCTAAGCTCGTTTAATGTTCATTTTTATTTTTATTCTTATTTTCATGCTTTGCACTTAATTAGTCGAATATTTATTTAAACTCAGATATAAATTAATTTTAAGGTTGTTTGTAGTGCTGACAAACAATTCTGATTAAAACTGAACGCTGTACTATTTCCCACACCAAAAGGAACAGCTCAACTCATAGTTTGTGCAACTTTTTCCCACTTTCTGTCTTCTGTTTTATTCCTTGTACCACAAATTGGCCAACAGCTCTGTCTGTTCTTAAGCTGTGCTTAGCCTTCGTATTTGTTAACACTTAAGCCTACAAGTTGACCAACTTGAGAAACTATTCGACATTCGACAGTCTCTCCAGACTCAACTTGCTTGTGCCTAATGCCGAGGAAACCGCTGGCTGGGCCCACAACTGATTTGCATATTAAAAACATGAATATTGAGCAGTCAGCTGAAGTTGTTGAGGCACGTGAACCGCCGCACCAATACCAACACCGACCCCCCCACCAACACCAACGCAAAAACGCCATGAGCCGCAATTTCATCCAAAAAGCCTAAGAAAACAAATCCACTAAGTCCCACGGCAAACAAGCGCCAGAATTTCGTATAAACTTTAAATGCCGCGCCGAACAACTACAATAAAACCGAAAATGTTTGCATAATACAGGGCGCAAACTTTTGACCTCTGCAGCTCAATGCTGGAGCCAAGCTCACTGGCTCCGACTAAGGCTCAGGCTCGGGCTCGCTCGATTAGTGAGCGCCTTAAAGTATGCAACAGCATGCCCACAATCTTGTGGGCACAAAGTGTGGCCGCAGGGCCAGGTGAGCAACGAATTGTGGGCGTGGAAGTTGCGTGCTGCCAGCCACTGATTGTAATTTAAAGTTTTATTCTTTAACAATTTAGCCATTCAATTCAATCACTTGAAAAAAGTTGGCGCAAGCAGCATCGTCAGCGCAAAAAGTTGCGGCAAAGCAACAACAACTAAGGCTTTTCCTACACATTTTTATATATATATATATTTTTTTTTTTTGCCAAAAAAGTTGCTAAATGCGTGGGTTGTTCTGACTGACTGACTGGCTGACTGGTTGGCTGCCCTATTTCCACTCTAGCGTCTCACCAGCTTTGTCCTTTGTAGTGACGTACGTGACGCACAGTTGGCAAGTAACTCGTCAATTGTTGTGCGTGGCGATGTGTGTCTTTGTGTGTGTGTGTGTGTGTGTTTACACACGTATGTATGTATACATTTCAACGGCAAAGAATCACGCAAAGCTGTCGCGCACATGTATATGCACATACACATATGTTTGTATGTATTTACACACTTTTATTTACATGCCTTGCCGCGCGCCTCATTGCGAGTATAAA